CTCTCCATGGACAGAGCATCTCATGCAGCAAAAAACAAAGGAGCCTCCCTGTTCTTAACCTAACAGCAGGGCTACGTTGCCTTCGAGAAGAATCGGCCATGGAGGGAAAAGTCAGTTGCCTAAATCTGCATCTGGCTCAAGGCAGTCGGATTTCATCATAGTGAAGACCAGACTCAGCTAAGCTCTCTTCAAATATTTGCTTTTGATTTCAGGGACCTTGTTGATGAGGCGAAAGATTATCACCTCATGCCAGAGCGCCGGCCGCACCTCCCAGCGTTCAAGACCCGTCCTCGGTGCTGTACGTCGATTGCAGGGCTGATTTACGCTGTTGGAGGGCTTAACTCAGCAGGTACCTTGCATATCCATTCCCCGCAGCGGAGAGAGCAATGTAGTTTGCCAAGTAAGATGAAAGGATCGTTAACTTTCCTTCTCTGCCCCCATGTGAAGTGCTGACCAGTTTCTGTGCAGCACTTTCACCTTTCCAAAGGGACACTAAAATGCTCGAGGTGGCCATGCCTGTGGATTAACATCCTCCCCTGTAGAAATTCTGTCTATATAGGGTTTATTTAGGACAGCTGCTCTTGTGTATCTCATGAAGGTACAGCATTTTGAGGACAGCGTCCTTGCCTAGTCACCTGTTTTATAGCAACGTGAAGATCCCAGAGATGCCAAGCTGAAATTGGTGGAGTTTTTGGGTCACACGTGCAAACACAGCGTGCTTGCCTGAGCCTTGTCGTAAGATAAAAGGAGGACAAAGTGTTTATGAAATAATCTGCTAGAGCCACAAACACCCTAGTTAGCCTGGGAAGTTTCCACTGGGTTTTTAAAAAAGTGCCAAGGATCAGCTCACTGGTGCCAGGATCCAATTAATGGGTACCAGCTGGGCGCTGTCTTTTGGGGTTGCCGTTCTGCATTCACACTGCAGCACGGCTGACTTATCCTACAGAGAGGCTGCGATTCCCAGAAAACTGCAAGACCAGTAGATGTGACCTAGTAGATCTCAAGCCTCCTGCCCCTTCTGAGGCTATAAAAGGCCCCACTTCCACAATCCAGGACTTCTAGAGTCTTACCGTACAGGGTGTGGGCGAGATTTGAAGCACTCTGTAGTCATTTTGTATTGCAGAGTGCAGTTTTTATGAATTTTCCAATAAACACTGAGCAGGTTCTCTTTGTGGATGAGTAGAGGTGCGGCTGGGAAATGCCTCTGACTTGACTTTCATGTGGGAGCAGGGAGGCTGGAACAGGAAGAGTGAGAGCTCAGCCTTTCCCCCAGAGAACGGCAGGTAAAGTCCACGTGCCAGCCCCTTCTGTGGAGTCTGGGCAGCAACTGTTTATCCGTCGCATCCCTCTGCCACGGGCAGTTTTGCTAGAAGGTTATCTATACAGCAGAGATGGAAGAATTGGTCTCCCCCTTTTAATTTGAGTAGCAAATTTTTATGCAGGTGACTCGCTGAATGTGGTGGAAGTCTTTGATCCCATTGCCAACCGCTGGGAGAAGTGTCAGCCGATGACGATGGCGGATATGACGGACAGTTACGGCTGAGTACCGTGGAGGTTTACAACCCAGAAACGGACTCCTGGTCCAAAGTGGAAAGTATGAACAGCAAACGAAGGTGGGTATGGCTCACTTAGTAGGGAGGGGACCTTTGGAGCAGATGGAGGGGAAGAATTACCTTGTAGAAAGCCTGGCAGGTGTTGGGTAGTGTTGGATATCAGATGAGTTTCCTGTTTAGGAAAGTAGCAAAAAAGGTCAGTGCCTCTTCTAGGATGGATACTCAGAAGAGTGGAATTATATGGGAAGGAGGTAGGTTTTGTCTAACCACATTTGGGGCACTCGCACTGAACCTGGGCACTGCTCGTGAGTAAGAGGGGGAGACTGTCAGCAAGTCAGCAAAGTACACCCGTGTGTCAAGGCATTGATTTATGAGGAAAACCATTAAGATCTTGGTACATGAAAAGCAGCTGCAAATCGACTGCGTGTGGGCTGTTAATTACAGAGATCTCTTATTTTTGGTGGCAGCACGCAGCGAAATCAAACTAAAAGAGCCTATTAACGCTCTGCTGAAGAGATCCGCAAAGGATTGCGCTGGAGTTCCATAGGACGTGGTCAGAGCCCCTTTTCTTTATGTTGTAACGCTAGACAGTAGATAAAGTGCTGGCAAGAGCAACGTAGGGAACTCTCCTGTACTGCTAGGAGCTGGACTAAACCCATTTTTCCATCTCTGTCCGGCGCTAGCATCTTCTTTTCTCACCAGAAAGCGTAAGAGACTCACAGGTGGGGAGAAGAGAGAAGTAGTTTTACGATCTGGAGAGAGGAGTTTACAGCTGAGCGGAAGGTGTCTGTGCTTGATGAACAGAGCTGCTGCAGTTCCTGACCAGGCAGAGGAGTTGCTTTGTGGCTGGGTTTGGAAGCATACCCTGAGTTATGTTGAAAACCCACCTATTAAGTTGTGTGGTCGTTCTGTCCTCCCCACCCCAAACACGGCAATTGCTTCCCTGTTTAAATGTATTCTTGGCTTCCAGTGTTTTTACTGTGGTTTTCCTTGCACTCATGCCTGGGCAGTGAGAGTTGTTAAATTGTTCACTTTTCTGCAAGCTTTGCAGCACTTTTTTTACCATAATGGTTTGTCTGGTTTGTTTTTTGTGGTCCAGAATGTCGCTCGCTTGGGAAGAATGCGAGCGGATAAGTACATGAAATCTCAGGCACAAGGCTGGGAGTGACGACGTCTCCGCGACTGCTGGCGTCGCGCTCCTTTACAGGAGTGTGTCACGTAAATAAGTCCTGGTCATTTTGCTGGTCAAAGCCTCATGTCTGGCTCTGAGGCAGAACTCATATAAAATCCTGGAACCGTTTCTAGCCAGTGAGGTCATCCACATTTTTAATTTGTAGCAGAAAAGCTCAGTTTTTCCATAGCAATGAGGTTTCTTGGATCATCGAGCTTTTCCCACAATGAGAGGCAGTGGCTCTTCTTCCATAATTGGGTTGTTCTGCGTTGAAGCCAAGCAGAACGGGTATTGGATACTCTTGTGCAGAGAAAAATGACAGTGATTATACAAAGCTACTTGGCTCTTGCAGTAGTGCTGTGGTTTTATCATCAAGGATGTGTTCCAGGCTTTTATGAGAACCTCTTATGACTTCACTTTGGAGGTGGGGTTCTAGTCTCTTGTTCAAAGCGTCCCACTCGATAGCCTTTTGGGCCAAATACGTGACTTACAAGGTATAGTGGCAGGATCAGAAACCTCAACTGAACGTTTAACAGCAACTACTGTGTCTCCTGAGGCTGTGTAGTTGCTGTAGTTTTCTGGTCACCTTCCACCAGCAGCAATGCGGAAGCCCTTCCTAGGAAGCCAGAGTTGCTGGGATTTCTACCGTGGTCTGGGTCACGGTTTCTGCCTGCGCTTTGCTTTAGTTCCTTCAGTCAGGACAAAGGGGTGTGTAAGCATCTTTGATGACTTGCTACCTGTGAGAACCTGCGTTCAGATGAGATCGAGTGGTTGAGCAGAGTGCGGACATGATGCCATGTCTTTCATGTCTAGATCAGCTGAGCCGATTCTCTCCAGTTGCCATCTAATTTACAGAACCTTGTTAGTGTCCGCAGCTGACGGACTCGGAAGGAGGTAAAGGTGAAAGCTGTGGTTATGCAGCTACTTTGATAAGGCTCCAGGCAGGCAGTTGTTGAAAGAGCAAGTTTCACCCTGTCCCTGGTCATTCCCGGCCTCTCCTTCAGGCTTGCCCTGGTGCGAGCACAGCTCTCAGTAAGCTGCAATTGGGACGCAGACTCAAGTGAAAGTTAACCCTGCCCAGGCAGGATTGTCCTCAGCCCGATCATCTCTTCCTTAGTCCTGCTGACACCAGAGGAAGAGCGAGAGTAAGTGGCAGCTGAGTGACACCACCTACTTCAGTAGCAACATAGATTTATGCCAGATTAAAGAAGACTTTAAGCACTGCATCAGGCATCATGCTGCCCTAAGACCATTATTCCCTCAAATGGGAGACGGTGTGCCTAGAAAACCCCCTTGTGAGACCTCTCGGGAAGCTGTTAGCTAGCCAGTTGTCGTTGACTTGTGTAAGCCGTTCCCTGTACCGAAATCGATTACACAGGCAGTAAACCAAGGCAGGTTGTGGAGATTTGCTCTGCTACGGATTGTGTAGCAGCGTGTAAGGCCAGCTAACAGGGTCGTGCTGTTTGTTTCAGTGCAATGGGCACAGTGGTGCTGGACGGTCAGATCTACGTGTGTGGCGGGTATGATGGAAACTCATCTCTCAACTCCGTGGAGTCCTATTCACCAGAAACCAACAAGTAAGAGCTCTTAACGCCCCGCAGCTTTTCCACCGGTCTGCTGCTAACGTAGCGCCACGCTGCCCGGCGCTGCTGGGAGGCCAAGCTGTAAAATGCACGTGGTGAAATACGTGCCAAAGGCTTTATATCTTCATAGCTGTGTGGTCTCCCCTCTAGCAAGAGTTTACCTTGGTGCAAGCGAGTGAAACCAGTGGCTTAAATGCAATAGGCAGCAAAAGGAGAATTGCTGAAACAGAGTCCTGGAAAATGTGATACGCTTGCAATCATCCGTGGAGCTGCTGGGGGCAGTGTGCGTGCCGTGCCTGCGGGAGCCCCTTGCTAACCTCTCCTCTCCCTCAATAAGGTGGACAGTGGTGACCCCCATGAGTTCCAACCGCAGCGCTGCTGGAGTCACCGTCTTCGAGGGCAGGATCTACGTGTCTGGAGGGCATGACGGCCTACAAATCTTCAACAGCGTAAGTGTGCGTGATGTGGGTTCAGGCTGCCAAAAGCCTTGTGCAGAAATTAATCTACTACGGGTAGCCTAAAGGGCTTTTCCTAGCTGGGGCTAGGAAAGCTCCGCGCCCTTTCCTTGTGCGCCCAAAGTCTACGTTTCCTTAAGTATTTACACCAGGAAATGATGTATCCAGGACTCTTCCTCCTCCTCAGGAAGAAACGAGCAAACCAGGTACCCGCTGAGAGCTGGACTGGGACTGCGGCTCTTGTTCCCCGATGCCAAGGATTGAGCATTTTGTTGTCTCTCCCCCTCCTTCACCTTTTTAAAATCATTTTAGCCAGTAATCGTGTCCCTGCTCCTTAGAGCTCTGAAGTGTCCTAGGTGTCAGGCACTTCCCTCTGCTCTCTTTGCCTGTTTGGATGCAGTTTCAGAAGCTGGTTATCTTTGAAACAAGCTTCGCAGCAGGGGGAGCTGACAGTACAAGGCCTACCGTGCTCTCTTCCATCTGTTCCGTGTCTCAATTCCCTGCTTGTCCTCTAAAGAAAGGTGTGTTGTGGAAGAGATAACGTTCATCTATCCGCTTGGCAGTGAGAATGCAGGAAGCAGTATCTGAATTGGACTTGTCAGTGATGCACGGCTCTCAGAAAGCACCTTGTAATAAATGATTTGTTGGAAGCGGTAATAACTATTTCTGCCTTCCTTAGTGGATGAGGTGCAGGTTATTGTCTGCAGCCTGAAGTACCCCAGAGCCAGTTTCGGGCCAGGGAACTACCAGTCTGTCTGTCCAAATTCATTCCCGAGTTTAACAAGTTTGGGGCGGTGCTGGCGGTCTCGCGGATGGAATCTGTCTTAACGGTGTCTCCAGAAACGCGAAGAATAAAAAGCTTTTATGAACTTTAAGGGTGTTCGATCCAGTTGGTGCTGAGGCTCAGCTACCCGTTTCGAACACCATACGGAAGTTGTTGAAAGGGGAGAGAGGCAGAGGGAGCCTCTTCAAAGCTGTGTTTTCTGTGGTCTCTGCAGCGTGTTGGGTGGGGAAAGAGGTCTCTCCCACCGTTCGTCTGCTCCAGCTCACCAGTGAGTTACTGGACTCGGGGCAGAAGTAGCAGGGAGAAATGCAGTGGCTGGTGGGCATCCAGGATGTCAGAACAGATTAATAACGATATGAAACCTAATTGTACGAAATCAAGAAACAAAGGAAAAGTTTTTCTGGTCTGCTTACACTTGTGTAATGAGAACATCCAAAGTCTCTGTACTCTGTGCTGCGTGGAAGACTTCACACAAGAATCCCCTTAATGCTGTGGCGTTTCTGTGACTGCAGGTGGAGTACTACAACCATCACACGGCCACTTGGCACCCTGTCGCCAGCATGCTCAACAAACGCTGCCGCCACGGAGCAGCCTCTCTGGGCAGCAAGATGTTCGTCTGCGGGGGGTACGACGGCTCCGGCTTTCTCAGCATCGCCGAAGTCTACAGCTCCATGGCGGATCAGTGGTACCTGATCGTCCCGATGAACACTCGACGGAGCCGGGTCTCCCTTGTTGCAAACTGTGGTCGTCTTTATGCTGTTGGGGGCTACGATGGACAGTCCAACCTCAGCTCAGTAGAAATGTATGACCCGGAAACAAACCGCTGGACGTTCATGGCTCCGATGGTGTGCCACGAGGGAGGGGTTGGCGTGGGCTGCATACCGCTCCTGACCATCTGAGAAGGAAGCGTTTGGGGGCTGTCTTTTAAACGACAATCTTGGGAGAGGTTCAGAAAGCGTTTCGTAATGTGATAGCCGGAGAGGTACATTTCCAGGTGCTCAAGTGTCATTCACAAACACGCAAAGACTTGACAAAACAATCCCTACCCTTGACTTTTGTCCCCAAAGATCAAAAATTTGCAATTCGGTGCGAGCGCGTGTGCGTACGATTGGCGGGAGCAAGGACGTACCCACCTCCCTCTCTCCTGCTTTAACCTTTGCACGGACCTGTGGCTAGGCCAATTCTTCCTCTTCCCGTTTGTTCTAGCTGTAGCAATGAGCCATGTGCATGTGGTCTGCTTCGGGTTGTACCTTTGGGAAGTGATGTTGTAGTCCGCGGAGGGGGCGAGTCTAATTGCCACATAACGGCCGCACTGATGACTTGGAGAACGCTTGTGCGCCTTCTGGCAGCAGGCAAAGCCACCTTGGCGTCGTGAGCGTTTGGCTAGTGACGGTATTTGATGCCGCCTTGAGCTTGCTGCTTGGCACGGTAGGATCTTCCCCAGTTTACCAAAACGAAGAAAAACAACCCAGCGTCGGTGCTGAGGCCGCGTCCACGTGCGACGGCGTGGGCTCCGCTCCTTGCACAAGGCGGCGGTAGCTTCTCGGAGCAGAAAACGCGCTTGGGTCAGCTTGATGGAGAAAGCTCGATGGGGAAAAACTTCTCCACAAGAGCCACATGATGGAGAAACTAGGAAGAGGAAAACCAGTCAGTTAGACCATCTAATAGTTTTAGCAAGCCTTTGAGGGAAAATGCTGAATGTAAATGACACTAAGCAACAGTCTTCAACGATTTCAAAATAGGAAATCAGCCAAGGTGTTAATTATAAAGACGTCCCTTAAATTAAATTTTGACTTGCATGCTTTTGTCACGTAACCTGGGCTTTGGTTTTTCAAAGCTGCCGTATGCGAGGTAGAAGTTGCTTCCGTGAAGAAGCAAGCGGAGCGAGGGCTGAGCAGGATCTTTCGAGAGGAGCAGGAAAGGCAGGAGCTCGCGTTTATATTGTCGGCGGCGCGAGTTCACTGCGGTGCAGCCAGGTGTTTTGGGGAGGGGGGAGGTCGCGATGTGGCCTGGGCTGACCGCGCCGAGAGCTGCGGCTCCGCGGTGAGACGCCCCTTCGCGGCGCAGGGCGGACGACGAGCGTCCTCCCCGAAGGGCCGGCCGGG